CAAATTCCAATTGGAATTTTTTTTGACATTCTGGAAATTAATAAATTTGTACTGCGACAAGATGAATTAAACAATTTAACAGCTCAATCAGTTAAATCGACTTGGTTGGAGCCAATCTCTAGTTTTTTGAATTGACAAACCAACAATTATATATATTAATATGTATATTCTACAAAATTCCTTTGGTTTTGTCAATAATTAATAATTCATGCAAATTATGCGGGTATTGTGGTTACTGTTTTTCGGGTTAAATAATAAAATGCATCACCCAAGTAATAATAATAATACCAGGACCATGCAAAAAAAGAAACATTTTTAAGTATATAACTAAATTTGAAAAAGTCAAATAAAAATCAATTTCTGAAAAATAAATGAATGAACAATAATAACATTAAATCTAACATATTGAGCTTGGGTATCAGATTTAATAAGATTTCCCTTTTACGAACAAGTAAGCGCTTTCTTCTATAGAATTTATCCAATTGTGAAGAACTACCGACAAGATAGAGGCTTCAAACAAGCGAGAGACTTTAACAGCTTCTTTGATAACAATGTAATTTAATAAAATCCAGAGCCAACGAAACCCTCTGAAATTTGATTGCACTGGCATATACTTAGATTTTCAGGTTATATTAGCCTTTGTATATATAAGAGATATGAGAATTTTAAATATTTGAGCCCAAATAATTTCTAATATCTATAAATTCCCAAGATCAAACATTACACATCAAAAAAAATAAAAAAAACATGTTATCAATATTTTTAATCACCTTTAATAATCGTACAAGCTTTTAATAATAATTGTGTGATTCTTATGCAAAAATTACATGGTTAAGTCACTTCATTATAGTCCATCGTTTGGTTGTTTTGAAAGATCTAAAATTTCACAGAAGTGTAGCAACCTAATATACATTTAAAAAAATAATTAATGGACCTCACCATACATTCATCTAACCTTCGTTTCAATTAAAAAAAGCTGCCCTTATGACAAGTCCTTCAACTCTTGGTCTTTTTGAGTGACTCGAATTCCACAGTAAGATTGAAACCTAAGGTTTATTATTATATAAAAATATTTAATAGTTGTATATATAAAGTATACAATTCTCGTCACACATTTCGTCTAGCCTAAAGTCGTTTTCGATTGAAAGAAGCTGCTCCTATGACAAATCATTCAATTTTTGCTCTTTTTGAGTAAACTAAAATTTTACAGTAAGATATGAACCTATAGTTTATTATTATGCAAAAATAATTGATAGTTATATATAAAACATACAACCCTCGTCGTACATTTTATCTAACCTAAAGTCATTTTCAGTTGAAAAAAGCTTCTCCTATGGCAAGTCCTTCAATTTTTGGTCTTTTTGCGTAATCTAAAATTTATATAAGATAGAAGCCTAAAATCTATCATTATGCAAAATAGATCGTGGCTGTATATAAAGCATACAATCCTCGCCATACATTCACTTCACTTCGTTTTCAATTGAAAAAAACTACTCCTATGATAACTGTTTGGTCCTTTTTAGCGATCTAAAATTTCATAGCCAAATAGAAATCTAAGTTTATCATTATGCAAAAATAATCGATGGTTATATTATAAAGCATAC